TCTGTGTTCCAGCACTGCACCCACTGCCCAACACAGACCTGATTTAAGCTGCTTTCTGAAGAGAGAATAGAGATGTATGAAAGTTTTTTTTCACTGCCCTGACCCTTCCTCTGTGAACTGCTTCCCCTTCCCACCCAACATGTGGTGATGATGATGGATGGCAGGAGAAGACAGCAGTCAGGCACAGTTCAGGGCAGTGTCACTATTCATCTTGTTCATCCTCGTGCCCACCACCGACACGAGCAGCTCCAGCGCCCGGGCTTGTGATGTGTGCAACGTTCCTGCAGCCCAGTCATAATTAATTATGTGGCTCCTCTGATTGATACGGTGGGTTCAGATGGAAGCAGGTTTCACTGAATCACAACTGACATGTACAAAGCACCCTCCGTCCCAGAGGACCCCCAGCTGCTTCCCAGGCTGAGCAGAGCGATGCATCAGCCACACCTCAGGGATCAGTCTATCTTCCGGGGGGAAGCACAGGTGCCTCGGAGGTGAAAAAGGCATTTACAGCACAGAACTGCAAAATGCAACAGCAGAGGAGCAAGAAATACGGTATTCAAACAAAAAAATAACACGCTGTGGTGGCACAGAATGTGATTGCTCAGAGTGCATTTTTAGGAAGGCTGTTCATGTGTTTGCTCAGCCCTGGTGCACAGCACATGCAAGGGATGGAACCCTCAGGAACCCAGTGCTGGTGGCTGGACAGGAGCCTGGTGTCAGAGTTGCATGGTCTTTGCAGAGGAGGACAGGCTGTATTTGAAGAGACAACTGAGGGAGGTAAAAAAAAGGGAAGAACTCAGCCCTGCCTTCGCATTTAATTTTTCTGAAGCTGCAGGACATGGTGCTTCAAGGCAGGGACTGAAATTTTTCAATTTGTCTTCCACTCACCAAAAAATTCTGTCAAAGCCCAATTCTGAGCAAGCCACCATAAATGATCATCTCAGCAGGGAGGAAACCACCGGGGTGTGAAATATCATTTTATTTGAGAAATTCGCATTGGGTCAAATGGCAGGATTTACATTTCTGAAGCTTTGCTGTTACAAAGGCACTGGGATGGGGCACAGAGAGCTGCCTGAGCATCCCTCCTGTCGCTGTGCCTCATTTGCCAGGTGAGGGAATCTGCGAGTGCCAGGGGTGCGTGGCTGCAAAGATAACGTGCTGCAAGGTACGTTTTTTTTTCTGTCAGGGAGCCAAGATGGAAATTCATTAATAATAATTTGCACTTGGAGGAGAGCCTTTCATCTGAGAAGCTCAGTGACTCCCAGTTGTAAAGGATAAAAATGGGAGCAGGCTGAAGGTGGCCCTGTCTCCTCCAAGGAGACAGTGCTGGGTGAACATGGTCATCTTCTCCAGACTGGGGGCAGAGCTGGACCTCTTTGCTGGAGGGGGGGTGATTGGTGAAATCACCTGGAGCAGCCAGCTGGGGAAGGGAAGGCATTTAGGTTGTGGCAGAATAAGGCCAGGGATTGGTGAAAGCCTTGTTATGTGTGATGGGAGGCAGCTGTGGGAGGGGAGAGTGGTGATTGCAGGAGGAGAGAGCAGGTGAAGGTGAGAGAAGTGAAGTTCTCCTGTTGCTGTGAGGCCTCTGGCTGCTGGTACAGAATGGACCACATTGAAAAAAGTGAGTTCGGCTTTTTGTTGTGTTTTTTTTTTATTACTGAGTTCCATTTGGAGGGAAGGGGGAAAATCTTGTTGTTTGTTTAAGCATCCTAAGTCTGGGAATCAGCAGGAGAGACTGTGTTGGTCGTGCAAGAGGAAGCCAGTGCTAAGGGAATAAGATGTGGTTTGCTGGTCCATGTGCATGCGAACACCCGACAGTACCAAATCTACATGGTACATCCTTCATCAGATGCTGGATCCTGAATCCTCCTGATGTGGCTTAACTGCTGGGAAGTCCATATTCCTTCAGCCAGTGAGCATGCTGACGTGCCCTCGGCTTCTAGAAATACTTTGACATTGATTAAATTTGAGAGGTGACCTGAAAAAGGCTCTCGCTTTTGGAAAGCAGGGAGGCAGTTAATTCATGGTGCTACACCCGGCTTGCTGGGCTGGAAATAGGGCAGTGACTGCCAGTGCTTGCACATATATTTCTCCTTTCCTTGCCAAGCTCCCCAGACAAGTAGCCATGGCAGCAAGAGGGCTGCTTTGTTTTGAAAGACTTCTGAGCTGGATTCCAGTGCTTAAAAACAAGCTGTCAGCAAAGATGCAGCAGCAGACAGAGATAATGATGCAAATTACCAAATAACTCTCCCTCTTGATTGCTCGTTTTGGACAAACTCGGACCCGTTCTTTTTATGCTTATGTTGGGGAGGCTTTAAAACTCTTGTGTGAAGCAGCAGTCAAAGCCAGCCCTGAGCATCTTGGAGACAGCCTGGCTGGTGTTCAGCTGGGCCGTGCCAGGTTGCAAAGACGCCCTGTAGTGCAAGGTGTCTGCAATTAGTAATCATCTGCACATCCCCTGGGCTGCTGCAGGGGCTGTTCCTGTGCACTCTCAGGCACGTTGCAGCCAATCGTGCAGATTTCTGGAGGTGCAGTGGCATGTCTAGAGATAGCTGGTAACTTTTTTTCCCCCCCTTTACTTCCCCCTCGAGCCTGGATCTGAAGATTTTTGGGAAGCTGGTTTCCAGCAATATGGCCATTTAGGGTGGTGAGTGCAG